TCACTGTATACACATTGGGGTGGCATTTAGAATGAATGGCAGCACCCCGGTATGTTGCAATACTGCGCATAGTGCTAATCTACAGTAAAACCCCCTGCTATGACCCCAGCCTTAAATTACTCACACGACCCAATTGTAATATACAAAAGATTCTGTAGATCACATTAAATCACTTCAATGTGCCAGAACATGGACAATTGACATTATCAAGTAGATAGGTTGAACATTTTTACGGGTTGTTTTTTTCTATTACAGTCATGATCAAATGGAACAATTATCTAAAAATTAAGCAAATACAAAAAACTGAATTTCAGTGTCATTCAATGCATATCCCTGTATAAATGGGCAACATAGTTTATATTATTTATTATCAGTTTTATTTTGTTATCAGTTTTATGGTATTATCAGTTTGGATAAAAAGGATTTCAATGTTTGGAATAAGCAGTAGTTTGCAATGGAGCAACACATTCGTAGTCCACTGCCCTATCGCCATCCTTCACTTGCACATATCCTCTCTTTTACTTCTCCATCTTTCCTGCAAAAGGTAGACACGGCATGTAACAGACTCCTTTTGACAGCAAAGATACATAAACACATACACGATCAACCTTCTAAAAACATTATGAAAATACAAATCAAACAATCTCATAAAGCAGAAATGGTCAATGACAATTTGTGTTATATGCAGTAAAAATACAAAGTCTACTACAACATATACTGTAAATGAGATACTCTAGAGCCAGCAAGAGATATTCTTTATATATTAAATGTTAACCCACATGCATATTACTGACCTATAGATAAAATAAGAAATCCTTACAGTTTGCCTGAAACTGCCATAGAACTCTATGCATGTATCTAAAATGAAAAACTAGTCTTTTTTTTATGTATTTTTCAACTTTTAAATATATATATATAGATTACTGTGATGCACTGCATCAAACAGCCTTGTCAAATAAGTGCTGGAAATGGCAAATATCCAGCAACTAAATAGATACTTAGACATCGAAAGATAATATTTTGGCATACTTTAAAGAGTGTGTTGTATTAACCAAAGCTGAAATAAAAGTAACTGTATTTTGCACAGTGGAAAAAAAAATATGGCACAAGCCTTCCCTTACAAGCATATTTGAAGTCTTGAAAGAATTTGGTTTTAAAAAGTAAATAACAGATCATTTGACAGTAAATAGTATGGAATGTGTTTTCCATATACACAATACTAGGATATCAAAGTTCCCAACTCAAAGAGAATCTAAAGTTTTCCAACAGAAAGGTGTTTGGTTTTTTAGTTTACAGTATATTTAAAGGGTCCTGTGTGACAGTCTAAACCAGGGGTCTCCAAACTATTTAAGCAAAGGGCCAGTTTACTGTCTTTCAGGCATTAGGAGGGCCGGACTGTGGTCAGTGGGAGTCAAAAATGCCCCTGTATAACGGGAGGAATAGTGCCCCATTGTTGCTATCAATGAAAATAATAGTACCCCATTGATGGTGTCAGTAGGGGCAATGGAGCTCCAACATTGGTGTCAGTTGGTGGAATACTGCCCCAAGGGCCAGACAAAGACAAGCAAAGGGCCACAGTTTGGAGACTACTGGTCTAAACAAATCCCAAATCCAGTTACAGTGTGATCCACAAGCCCTAACAAAAGGAAAAAAAAAACCCTTTCCCCCACCACCAATCAACCAAATCCTCCTTTATGTGTTTCTCACAGTCTTCCCCTCCCAGACATTGAAGCTCACAGTGGGAGGGTTTCAGCCACAGAGGAGTCCTGCCATACCATAAAATGGTGGGTTGAAATAGGAATGCCAGGTCCTGACTGGCTGGCTACAGTGAAAATGCTGATAGCCATGCCCCATGCAACATCACAAGATGTAATAAAAATATACTATAATTTCCCTTTAGTAGACTGCAGAGCTCATTGGAATATGTATAATTAGGGGCAGACTTTGTCAACTTTTTTTTATCCCAGAAGACACCTTAGAATCATTTTCAGATATCAGGGACTCCCTGCTTAGGGAGTCATTAGGAAAATACCCCTTATCTTGGTGGTCAGTGGGAGAATGTCGCTCTTACAATGGTGGTTAGTCAGCTAAAAAGGTCATTGGTGTCATGCTTCTGGCTCTGCCAAGTGGTGATGGACCTGAAACTATCAAGGCACCATTAGATCAGAGGTCATTTAGTCACAGCTCAAGGAACCCCCAATCATCCTCTGCAGAAAACCTGGGTCTGAGAATGGCTAACGTAGAGGAACTAAGCTCCCCAACATCCACATAAATATTACTTTTGCTCTGAAATCAGCATTTACTTTCTTTCAGCCTGCCTTACCTAGCTGGCAGCCTTCTAAGCAAACTGACCGACCAATACTTTCATAATAATTATACAAGGGACAAATGACTCATTTGTCTCTGTATTGAAAGCAAAAAGTTCAAGAACCACTAAGCTAGGCAAACCAAAATGAATCTGTGTAATAATCTATGTGAATTGCTTGATTCTATCCTAAAACAGCAATTGAAAAACTTGCTCCATAATACTTATATTAGACAGATATATTTAAGTATTGTGTTATTTACATGGTCTTGGCTCAGCAAAAGCTTTGTATGAACAAATGAAGTTATTTTTTTTGCAAGGAAAGACTGAATATAGAAGAATATGTAATACTATGATTATATGTCTGACATCTGAAATGGGGATTTTGATGAACTCATGCTTCTAAACCACTGGCCACCCCCCAGTAGTGCTGATATTAACAATGTTAAAGCCGAAGGCAGGATAGATGATGCGATTTTCTTTCCTGCAACCCGTGGTGCTCGATTTCCCCATCAACACAATCAGTGTTGATGGGGGAATCCCTCCCGCAGAGCTATTTTGTTCTCTTGGCGTGGGGGCATGGGGAGCTGTCCCTGCCAGGAGAACACAGTGATTATTGCTAGCGGCTATAGCTGATGGCAATAATCACATGCTAGAAATCCAACATGCTGGTTGTACCAAAGTCTATTGGTGGATTGATTTGGGTAACATCAGCCTTAGCATACATGGATCGAATCTCAGCCAGTCCCTGCTGAACTGGCAGAGATTCAAACCATCTATGGCTGGCTTAAGTTTGCCTTGAACAAAAAAAAATCCGCACAAAGGATACGACTTGCATTCAATGAGGTGGGTTGTGCTGGTGTGTCCTCCTTTCACTGAAATCTTCCTTCTTTGATGGCCACCCCCACCCCTACAATATTCGGGTGCTTCAGGCATTTTTAGATCTAAAGGAGATGTCATCAAGTGTGACAACCAGTTCTTTATGGCCAGCTCCTCCATTCATGGAAAACGGTACTACAGCTTCTATGAATAAAATACAATTTCTGAATGGAGGGAATAGACCTATCAATCATCTGTTCACCCTCCATTCATAGATCATGTCTCATTCATGGAAACTGTAATAACAACTTCTATGAATGCAGCAACTGAGTTTAAAGGACAGGCATAATTGAGCACTCCTGATGAGTGCCTGTAACAGCTCTTATTTCTATAAATCCCTCCACGCCAAAATATTACAGCGGCAGGGGTGGGGGTGGGGGGGCATGGGAAGAGGAAGATTTTAGTGAAATGAGAACCCAGCAGCACAAGGGACACATCCTACTGAAGGCAAGTCATATCCCTTGTGCTGATTTTAATATGTTTTAGCAATTTCAAATCAAGGGAAGTACAAGAGCAATATTATATTTACAGAACACCTAGCTATACTATAGACACCGGTGCCTGCCCCAATTTTTGAATTGGAAATTCTTGAGAATTCTAGTAAAGAAACACTAGAACCCAAGTGGAATTCTTGTGCAGTGTAACTACATTCCTTGTGTTGATTTACATCTGGAGTAAAAAAAGCTGGAGCAAAAGGAGAGCAGTCTGAGGCCCCTTCACAACACAACAAGTGTAGTGTTGCACATGAAACAGCTGTTAGAAGGGCCTATTTTGTTGTCCTGTGAGATGTTTCAAGAAATAACATTTTGTATAGGTAGCAAGTGCTTTGGAACCTTTTCTGGAGTGAAGAAATAATGCTCTATTTTAACATCAGCTGCGAAAGGCAGCAAAGAGAGTGAGCCTGACCAAACACAAGAATAACTGTCTAGATGTGAAGGGACCCTTAATCTTTCAAAGGAAGCAATATTAATATTTTGCTGGCACATGATAGGTAATTTCAGTGTTTCAAGTTCAGGCAGAAACACAAAGTTCAAAAAAGTAAATCAATGGGCATCTTTGTATTTATAAACAACACTACTAGCCTATAAATTTGCACGTAAAGTTTTGTCCCAAGCATTAAGACACGAAAGACTGAAAAGGTGTTATAGAACCCATGTCAGCTAGTTTTGTCTAGTGATAACACCAAATTTATTATATTTAGCCATTTTACCATAACCTAAACACTAAAAATGTTTATGTTACCATATGATTGACAATAAAATAGCTGCTTATAAAAAAAGTAAATTATAAAAGTACATGATGCATACATAATACAAAAAATGAACATCATTCCTAATCCACAACTCTGGAAATTTACAAGTATGACAAGTCTTACAATGTGTGTTTTATAGAAAATTTCAGTGCTGACAAATGCTGTAGTTACTCCCATACACTTAACTGTGAAAAAAAACAAAAAACAAAAACCCGTTTGATAAAATAAAAAAAGATGCACAGAGGATTTATGGTCCTTCACACTGTTACTTTTCAATTTGAAATATCAAATACTAATGCCAACGGCATGGGACTAAAAGCCATGACCTCTAGGTAGGGGATTGCTTCTTTCTGTGTAAGTCCACAGCTCAAAGTGATATTCTGGGCTTGGAGAAAACCCCATCCCGATGCAGTCAGTACTTCTTCACATCCTGACCTCTGACATACATTTTTACAGGAGTAAAAGAGTACACAGAATGCCCAACAAAGCAATTTTCTGCCCCTAGATTACAATCACTCTGACGGACTGCCATTCTGAGCACCAAATTAGCCAAGGTGACGGCTCTCAGAAATCTGCATCTTCATCGTTCTCATCGTTGTCATCATTATAGTTGATGAGCCCCTGAGGGTCGTTATTGATGCGTTTGTATACAAAATGAAAGACTTGGAGGTTTGGTCGACTGTGAAGTTCAGCTTTAATTTTCTGTGGGTATGTGTCTTCACTGAGCTGCTGCCAAGTTTCATCAATATAAAGGAAGAGACCATAATTTTCAGGGTCCTGGATGTTAAACCGCTGAGCGCACATCTGGCAGACATCTTCGGTCGTGGTGTAAGGCCTAACAATTAGTGTCTTGCCGGTACAGCCATTATCTACTTCTTGAAGGGCAACTCTCAAATAATTCTGTAACCGTGAACAAAAATACAGAACGTCACCGAATTACATTTAGACCAGGATCATAATTCTGCATAGCCATCACACTGCCATACACATATTGTATGGCTGACAGATGTTCCCTCAAGATAAAAACAAAATGGCAGGGTTCTCTTTAAGGTTCAAATACTAAGGGGGCATCCAAATAATTAGATGGCACTGTATCCAACCACCATCTCTTATCCCAATTCTGCTCAATATATTGTATATCTGAGTAAAGCAAAACTCTGTCCTTGCTTGCCTCTTTCCCTCCAGCTTCAGCACCGGCCTGACAGGCCAAACTGAAGTGCGCAAGAAATGGCCAAAGAATCTATTAGAGTGGTTAGGGTCTGTAAAGTATCATGCCCCAGAAGTGGTAGTGCAGATTTTATTGCATACACACTTTTTTTTAGCTATCAAGATATAATAGTCAAACTATAGATGCTATTGTTTTTATTGATGCCTAGCAGTTTTGCTGTGTTCATATATCATAACTACACATCATTTCTATGCAGTGGATGGATACAATTTTACATACCAAAGACATATGACAACTGAAATTAGTACGTTGTATTGATCAATGCACATCAATTTACTAATGTGTCAATTTTATCAACAATAATTTATTAAATACGCAGGACATCATTAACAGGAAAAATGACAAATGATATAATGACTGCGCTCTTAAAGTGGTTCTACAGCATAAGGTTTTTTTTTTCTTTTAACTTAATGCGTGCTAAAATCTTTTTTTTTTAACTTAATGCATTCTAAAATTGTTTTTTTTTTTTAACTTAATGCATGCTAAAATTGTTTTGTTTGTTTTTTCACCTTAATGCATTCTATGCATTAAGAAGGTAAAAAACCTTCTTGAGGTTATTTACTAAAACTAGAGCGTGGAAATCTGGTGCAGCTCTGCATAAAAATCGCATGAAGCATCAGCTTCCAAGTTTTATTGCCAAAGCTTAATTGAACAAGCGGAATTTAGAAGCTGACAAGCTACCATGCACAGCTGCACCAGATTTTGAGTGCACCCGTTTTAGTAAATCTCCCCCTCTGTCTCACAGGATCCACCCTTCACCCCCCTTATACTTACCTGAGCCCATTCTCGATCCACCATCGTGCATGAAAGCAGCGGCTCTCTCCCTCCTCACAGGGCAAGATTGATAGCAGCAGGATACATTGCTTCCCACTGCTGTCAATCAAATTCTGTAATGAGGGAGTGGAGGGCAGTGACGAGCTGTGCTGTCTGTGTCCATAGACGCAGACAAGGTGGCTTGGGATCAGAAAGCAGCTTTCAATGGGGGCACTCGCGGAACAGTTGAAGCCAGGAGCACTGGCAGGGGACCCCAGAAGAAGAGAATCGGGGCTGCAAAACCACGGCACAGACCAGGTATGACATGTTTGGTTTTTTTATTTAAAAAAATGAAGTTTTACAATCACCTTAAACTTGCTAAAGTTGTCAGTACATACTGTAATTTGACGTAAATCTAATTCAAATTTACCAACATCTAATTATTGTGGGGATATAATGTATTCTCTTTAGATCAAATCAGGTAAGCTCCTGAATTTCAGAGTTTTTGGCAAATCTATAGGATATTGTTAAATCAGATTGTTAAATATTTGGGCAGCTTTAGTCTCCCATCTCCTATTCCATCTTCGCATTTTTTTGGTGTTGTGTAATGTAGGGAAGGGTTAGAACATGTGCTAGGTTATTGTTGCTATTGTTATCTATGTCCCTATATGGGAGAGTTCTCCTCATTTCGTGGTGGTGAATAAACAGAAAATGAGAGGAGTTTTCCCAACAAAGGCTCAGACTACAAAAAATCCTACCATAAAAAGGAGGTTCTAACCATTGCCCATTCTGTGAAAAGAAAACCCGGTGTTATTGCTGTGTGCTTCCTCTTCTGATGATCACAACGGGGACACAAACAGAGATGAAACAAATTAAACAATGGCTGGAGGAGTTCCAGTTTAATATAATGGGCCTGAGGTGTTAATATTACCTGGAAGTCATCAATGGATGGAATGGTCCTGTTTGCAGTTCTTCTCTTGTGCCATTGCTTTAATGTGTCTCTGGTCTCTGAATTTAACAGTCGAGCTGCTTGCTCTTCCTGAAAGTTCTTTATCAAGGAAAGTGCTCCATATGCACTTGTCAAGTAATAGCCTCCTAAGGGAATACAAATATACCATGTAAATGTACAGCTAAGAACAATATGACAGTTTTTTTTTTGTAGTTTGAACAGACCTGTTACCCATGTGCCTTTGGGGCGGCAATTTTGATGGTTAAATTAGTGTAGGTGTAGTGATATCACTAATTCATGAGCACCTGGTGCCCTCTAAGGTCCTAGTGAACTCAGACGCATATATGATCATCTTGGAATTTACAAAGTCACGGGGCAAGTCTGCTTCTATTATGTATGGCTGACTTGTACGATTTGAAGAAATAGTGCATTTATGTGCATTAAATGCTTTACATAAATGGCTGGATCAATACTATGTTTCCTAAATTCATGATATCTATATAGCACATAGACAAGATGACAGTGTTTCTTTAACCACTTCCAGACCGGACACTTTTACCCCCTTCCTGACCAGGGCAATTTTCAGCTTTTAGCGCTATCACACTTTGAATGACAATTGCGCGGTCATGCAACACTGTACCCAAATGAATTTTTTACCATTTTTTTGAGATAGATAAAGCTTTATTTTGGTGGTATTTATTCACCACTGGGATTTGTATTTTTTTTGCTATGTAAATGAAATGTCCAAAAAATTTGAAAAAAAGTGTTTTTTTTTATAAAATTTTGCAAATAAATAATATTTCATCATAAATCTTAGCCAAAATTTATTCCGTTATCTTTTTAGTAAAAAAAAAAATCCAAATTAGTTTATAAGCAAAAATTATAATTTTTAAACATTTTTTTTTTTACATTTTTATTTTATTTTTTTATATTATTATTTTTTATTTTTATTTTTATTTTTTTACATACTGTCACCCTAGTAGTACAGTGTCACCATGGTGACACTACTACTTGTGAGGGGTGATGAAGATTTTTTTTTTTTTTTTTTTACACTGATTGCTTTTACACCCATATAGGATATAAAAGCAATCATTTCTCTTTCTCTCTGTCTGCATTCTTGCACTCATTGAAAAGAACTGAGTGAGCTGTGATTGGTCATAGCTTGTCACATGGTACAAGGCTTTTGTGAATAGCCGTGTACCATGTGACCTCTGTGATCATTCACAGATTTCACACATAGTAAGCAATGATGTCAGAAGTGACATCTTGCTTACTACTTTGCATGTGATCACTGATTGGCCAATCAGTGATCACATGATCAGGACCTCGTACAGAGGTCCCGTCCGACGATCGGTGTTTCACTGTGTCCGGAGGACACAGCGGGCACCGGATCGCGGTGCTGCGCGCTCCCAGGGAGCGCGCACAAGCAGGGTGCGGGGAGGCCGTTTATAGACGGCCACCCGACCCTGCAGTGCCACCGTCCGGCTGTTTATATACAACGGCCGGTCGGGAAGTGGTTAAAGAACATTAGAATTAAGGAAAGGGTGGATCTGTAAACTTGCTTAACCACTGCCAGTCTGGCCCATGTATATAAACAGTTGGACGGGAGCAATGCAGGAGTGGGTGGCTGTTATAAACGTCCTCCCCGCTTCCCCCTGACTGTACGAACTCCCTGGGAGCGCGCGGCAACCGCGATCTGGTGCCCACTGTGTCTGGAGGACACAGCAGAACACTGACCACTGTACGGGACCTCTGTTTGAGGTCTCGATCATGTGATCACTGATTGGCCAATCAGTGATCACATGAATAGTAGTAAGCAAGATGTCACTTCTGACATCATTGCTTACTACTAGTGAAATCTGTGAATGATCACAGAGGTCACACGGTACAAGGTGTAGCATTTGTACGTACAGAGATGGATGTGAACCTCCATTTTGCCAAAGGCCCTCCATCTTGTATCATTTCTACTCCAAATCAGCTTCCCCCCTCCCTTTCTGTTGAGTGACACGTGGTCCCTGTGTGCTGGGTTCAGAAGTGCACAGGCAATCAGGCACAGCGGGACAGCTTCATGGTTATAAATCCCAAATTAGCTGGTGCCTGGGTGTCTGTTAGCTTCTCAATCTGAGATAATGGTAAAGCCATAAACCAGTCCTTCACTGGGCTTCAAACGCATTCCTAGGTAGCCGTAAAACAGGCCTCACATTTAAAACCCACTTTTCCCTATAATTTCATATCTTAAGGTAGGAATTAATTACATAAAAATAAAGCACATATTCGAATAGCTCAGCTTAATGCGAGTCATCTGATATCTTACACCCCTGGATTACGTATGCAGGAGAGCAGAAAGCCATATAGTTCTAGCTGGAATAGTGAACTATGCCATATTTGATGTCTGGACGTTCAGAATATCATTCTGCAGATCATCCTACCCATGGATAGAATTGACCCTGGTATAAGGGATTTTGGTTCTAGCCTGAGTCCCCCACCTAAAACACCCCTCCCCAAATGAGGCGATTGGGTCTCTGCTGTAAGAAGACACCCTGCTGAGTTCCTAGAAAAAAAGATGTCAGGTTTGGAGAAGTAAGTTGAAGTTGAAGAATTCTCCCTTTTTAACATCAGGAACCAACTTTGGGAGAAAAGGACCCTTTTGCTGTGACCCTTGAAGCTGTTTAAACCAAGGCTGACGGCAAGTATTCTACCTCTCTAACTTTCTTTCTGTTATCTCTCTGTTGTGTTATTGCTCTCTGTATTTATATATATATATTGGCTACATCTTTTTCTGTAAATATTTTTATTGCACCATTTTGACCTTTTTAGTAATAAATCTTATTTTATGAAAAGTGTTGAACTGTTTCTAAAGCTCTTTATTGCAAACTAAGAATCCCTGTCTCTGAAGAGCGCTACTGTGTGTTTTAAACTTCTGTATATCTCTGCCTGCGATGACAGTGTGTATACAGACGCTTATTCAAACATCATAGTGTTATTGCTAAGATTGGTGAGTTTCCTCTTTCTCTGTACAAAAAGGCGGTGGTAGCAGTGTGAAGGGTTAATTGCATAATTAACCTGACCCAGTAACAATCGCTCTCAGGCTGCGGTACATAGATTGTGGTCCATTAGCTGGAAAATCTTTGTGCAGGGTGCAGCTGAGCGTGGTATTGTTACGCAAGTGACAACGCAGATTTAGATTGGCTAGTCCTTTGGGCACGAGTTGGTGAGAAGGGCTGGGGGTCTGATGCCGTGTCCGTCACACCACCTACCTCCAGTCCGATCTAGTCTGCTAAAGAAAGAAAAACATGGAAGGGGATCTGCCCCTTTCCACCTAGGTGGACCAGAAGGCAGTTGAGTGTTAACGGACAGCGGAATCTGTTTATTCCTGGCTGCCGAAAGAGGCAGGCTCTATTAAATGTGAGCAGATATCCTGCTGATCGGTGAAAGGGGCCTAAAGTTTGACTGTACAATCAAGATTTACCAAAACTATGTAACATAAGGGCCTATTCAAACAGTCCATTCAATTTGTATCCAATCAGGTAGCACATTCTTGTGGGGGATTATATAGACAGTTTGTAACGAGTATCTTGAACATAACAGATTTCCCTGGGTTTTGGGATTGTTCAGGAATCTCTAAAACCAACCTCAAAGAGCCAGTATATGGAGATGCCTACTATTCAATTTAAGTTATGTTTTCGGAACAACATCACAACTTATTTTAAACTGAGACTTCAGCATTGTAAGTATTTTAAGTGTCTGGCAGGTCTACTTATCCTGTTATCTTACTTCAAAAGAGCTTTGCCTTTATACGTATTTATATCCAATTTCTCTCTTCTTTATGTTCGTTATCTCTGGTTATCAGGCTCTGTACTGTGAAATATTTTTACCATGTCACAGCACAGTTTCTATTTGCAGGCATGGGGTAGGCAAGTTCAGGAAGGGGGGAGGAGGTCCCCTCCGGTTATCTAAGACATACCACTCTCTCAACAGGATGGAACTATTTAGCTAAATTTGACCATAATAACATAGGAATTCTGTAATGGAAAAATCAGCTGTAGAGAATAATGTTCCATGGTTTCAAGAAAAAAACAGAACATAGTTACATAGCCTCTCTCTTCATGGTAGCAGTACAGAATCATGCAATGGTTTATATATCCATATTTTAGGTGTTACAGTACCGTGGGTAGGCAGCCTTGGCACTCCAGCTGTGCTACAACTACAAATCCCATCATGCCTCTGCCTTGGGGAGTTGTGCTTGTCAGTCTTGCAGTGCCTCATGGAACTTGTAGTTCTACAACAGCTGGAGTGTTGCGGTTGCCTACCCCTAAACACCATTGTGTGACACTCAGAGATAGAAAGAAGCGCCATTATTTCCAAACTGAAAAATGTTGAACATTATCAAGTTAACACTGCCAAGGCTTTTAAAGTGGAACGTTAGTCAGAAAATGAAGACCTGCTAGATTACTTCAGCCTGGCCCCATTTGCAAGTAATACTTATCTCACCCTCCTCTGCAGATGCTCAGTAGCTCTGTGCTGAAAATCTAGAGGCCGATCTACTGAAAACCTAAACATTTACTGCTGCTCAGGGGCTCTGGGCTTAAGCAAAGTGGCAGAAAAATCAGGAGCAATGTTGGAGGCAATTTACAGCACACATTCATTTTGGTAGCATAATTTTTAATGTGGAATGTATGTTCCCTGCTAAAGAACATTACTTTTTGTCAAGTTGTTATGGGTAAAGTTTTGTTTTAAAGCGGTAGTAAACTGCAGCTTTGAAAAAAAAAAAATTTTTTTTTAAAGAATCCCCTGTAAGGTAATGTCATAATGTATTAGTATGCATCACATACTAGCAAATTATGAAGGATTTACCTTAACCACTTCAAGTCCGGACACTTTCACCCCCTTCCTGTCCAGGCCAATTTTCAGCTTTCAGTGCTATCACACTTTGAATGACAATTGCGTGGTCATGTAACACTGTACCCATATTAATTTTTTAGCATTTTTTTTTAAACAGATAAAACTTTATTTTGGTGGTATTTATTCACCACTGGGATTTTTATTTTTTTGCTATATAAATTACAAAGTCCAAACATTTTGAAAAAAAAAAAAGTGTTTTTCTTATAGAATTTTGCAAATAAATATTCCTTCTTCATAAATCTTGGCCAAAATATTTCCTTTTAGTAAAAAAAAAAAAAAAAAAAAAAAAAAATAACCCAAATTAGTTTATAACCAAAAATTGTAATTTTTAAAAAAATGTTTTACATTTTTATTTTTTTTTATATTATTATATTTTTTTTCTTCAACACCATTGACACCATATTGACACTGTACTACTTGTGGGGGGTGAACATTTTTTGTTCTTTTTTTACACTGATTACGTTTACACCCATAAAGGCTGTAAAAGCAATCATTTCTCCTTCTCTCTGGCTGCATTTTTGCAGCCATTGAGAAATACAGTGAGAGCTGTGATTAGTCACAGCTTGTCACATGGTACAAGGCTGTTGTGAATAGCCTTGTACCATGTGATCATTCACATATTTCACTAGTAGTAAGCAATTTTGTCAGGAAGTGACATCTTGCTTACTACTATTCATGTGATCACTGATTGGCCAATCAGTGATCACATGATCGGGACCTCACGCAGAGGTCCCGTACAGCGATCATTGTTCCGCTGTGTCCGGATTGAGGTACGCCCGCTCACAGGGAGCGCGCACAGGAAGGGAATGCAAGAGGACGTTTATAAACGACCTCCCGCTTCTGCACTGCTCCCGTCCACCCGTTTATGTACATGGGCCGGATGGGAAGTGGTTAAAAAGAAGCCCTCCAGCGGTGCGCTGTCTTCTTCACTCAGTCTTCCTTCCAGGTTCATGAGCTCTGGCCGTTTGATTGACCAAGCCATGATGATGTCAGTCCCATGCATGTGTGCGGGTATGCCATTCCTTCAGAGCGCATACGCTGGTGATGTCACCGGCTGGTGCTCACTAGAATATCTCCTTGACGGTGCACATATAGGAGATACTCATTTTACCTACAGGTAAGCTTTATTATTAATTTATCTGTAGGTAAAAGTATAAAAAAAGAGTTTACTACCATTTTAAATCAGAATTTATAGATCTACTCAAATGAAAGAGAAAACATTAAACCTGATGTTTTGTTAGGCTACATTCACATTAACAGCCTGTACCTGTATTATTATGCAGCACACTAAAATAACTGTAACTCTGAGCAAATGGTGCCAAACTGTACCGGCCATTTACATTTATTTAAGTATACTGACAGATTTATTTTAGTATTGTTATTATTATACAGGATTTACATAGTGTCAACAGTTTACGCAGCACTTTACAACAAAAGGCCAGACAGTACAATTACAATACAAATGAATTCAGGAAGATTCAGAGGGCCCTGTACATTATTAGTGTAAATATATAGTGTATATATCAGATTTGACTATATCAGGTAAGCTGATATGATGGCACTGATGTGCACTGGGTAAGCACTGATGAGCACTGACAGGTGGCATTGATGGACACTGACAAGTGGCATTGATGGACACTGGCAGGTGGCACTGATGGGGCTACACTGATCATCAGGGCACATTGATCATCAGGGCACCGATGATCAGTGTACATGTCCCCTCTGAGTTTATGCCGATTACCGGCTCTCCTCTCCTCACAAGCTGTCAGCTTGACAGCTCATGAGGAGAGAAATGCAGATAACCGGCATTTCCTTTTTTACATTTGCGATCAGCTGTGATTGGACACAGCTGATCACATGACAGGAGCACCGACGTCTTCAGCTCTTTCCATTGATCACTGTGATCCGCTGTGTCCCTGGGACACTGACTGGCACAACCCCTGGGCACTGACTGGTGGCACAGCGCTCCACTGATTGCTGTGATGCGCACCCCCCGGGGGAGCGCACGCGGTGGTCATAGTGGGAGAACTGCCTTGCGCCCCTCATTTCTTTATGGGAGGCTGCTGGGCGTTTAACTTGCGGGTGTCACTGCTGGGGTTTAGTAAACATCATTTTGAGAATGATCAGGAGGCCGGTGGGAATCGGTCACCACATCATCATGTGCTAAATACAAGATCACGGAGATCGCCGGTGCGCGCCCCCTGGGGCGCGCATGAGTGCGTTTGATTCATATATCCACTCAGAACTGGCCGGCCGCTGTGAAGCCGTCATTTCGGCTTGCGCGGTCGGCAAGAGGTTAAATACAAGTAATGCACTCTAAAGCAATCCAGCTTTTTAAAAGATCTCTTGCGTGACAATATTTAACCAGGTGAGCTTTTTATAGGGACAGTAAATGCAACATTAACGTGGGCATTTGGAATCACTGCAAAGTCAAGTCAAATAAATGTAAAACCTCCATGTGTATTAACCCATACAGTTCAAATACACTGGAAGAGTTACTGCTGAGAGATGACCTTTCCTTTCTCAGGTGTATATAACAAGTCTGTTTATACAATACCACTCCTAAACCAGAAAGATGAAGAGCCCACATGTGCTTCACTGTGTTGGGTGCAGTAAATGAGTCCTTTATTGCAAGAAAAATCTGCAGCATGCACAATCTTTTAACACACTGCAACTTTAATGATAGGGCAGAACTCTTTTCACACGATTTCTTTATTAAAAAGGTTTAAAAGCAAATCCTACCTTCTCCGTGCAGTAGAGCTGGGTCCAATAACTCCATCATGTACTCAATTTCAGTGTCAATTTCCAGCATGTCACACTGAGCAATGACATAAGTTAGAACTGGCAAAAAATCATCTGCTCCATACATCCTCCCTAGAAGACAGATTAAATATAATTAAATCTAGACAGGGGGAGAAGATTGTATTATATACTGAGCAACATAAGATGATCAATGTCATGTTATGAATATTTTCATATATTCCTGTGTCCTATTCACATCAGGTCAATGGGACTGCATTGGGTGGTCCTGCCCAGCGCAGTCCCAACAAATGGACAAGGCAAACTGCCTTATGTACTATTTGTGCAATTCACACCACTTCACTGGCTGAAGTAGGCCAGGCACTATTTTTTTCTTCATTGCAGCGTGTCACGGCGAACCAAGAAACATGAACAGAATGTAATTTTGTGACAAACCAAAAAGGTTGAAAAAAGTAAACAGTCCAATATGCTGTAATCAGTTCATCAACGCTGTGTACTTCAAAGCACACACTAATGGCCGAATTAGAACGCCGGCACCAAAAGAAACTCATTAGTGAATGTCAGATTCCATTAATTTACTTTCACAAAATATTTTTACAATGTAGACTGGATTCTAACATACAGTTGTTTATTTTGAACACAGTAGGGAAGGAACAATGTGGAAATCAGATTTTCAGATTTTGCTTTGTTGTCTGTGTTCCCACTGAGCAGATTTCACTCACCTCGTCTGTCATCACTGGGACACAAAGTAGGGGGAAATTTCTCCTCCAAATGACCAGACAACTACATAAAGTAGATTTTATAACACTTCCTCACTCTATTCTACATAGAACAAATTCTGAAACAGCATCACACAAACTTCCATATGGTTTTTCTCCACCATATATGCAGCAGGTAATATTGCAATCTTATCATTGTGCTGGTAGTATTTGTCTTAACAGCAAGTGGTGCTTGGATTTATATGAAGTGACTTCCTGGAAAAAGAATACTCTATACTGACTCTAGTGGTGACAGCATTAGAAGGGACATATTGATCAAAAAGAGAAGTTTAGGATTTAAAAACCCCCCAAAATTGGTCTGATATTGCATCTGTCTCCCGCCTCTATACCAAGAACTGTGAGATCAAAGACTGCTGATCGCTCAGTTCTCGGTCTTCAGTGAGCAGAGAGTTGCAGACTGTCAGTCACCAGATCTCTGCACAGCCACTCCAGGGCTCTCTGAACGCAAGGCTTCACAAAGGGCGGAAAGGGGTGGCTAAGGCTCTCAGCAGTGCAGTGAGAGACTGGGCCAACTGCCAGTCCAGGCATCTTGGTGGATTCCAACATTAAAGTTGGGATCTCTCCAGACCTGGATCAGCTGAGTGACATCAGTCAAGAGGGCTTTAGCCTTCTGTCGGCTGAATAGGGGTCACATGAGTGCAGAACTAAGTGATCTCCAGAAGATGTAGGGCCAAAAGAGCTTTGTCCCTACTTCTCCTTTAATACAGGGCCCAGATGATTACATCTGATTCGATGAGCTTCAGTGTTCATTCTGGAGAATCTAATCCTACACTTGATTCTTTTTGAATATCAAGGCACTGGCCAAATTGGCAGGAAAATCAAGAGGATGCAATTCCATAACTATATGGTAGGTAAGTTGTAGAAAATATGAGCATGTGGTAAAACTAATGGGTAAAATGGACAATGGGGGGAGAATTACTAAAACTGGAGTGAGCAAAATCTGGTGCAGTTCTGCACAGAAACCAGAAATCAGACTCCAGGTTTTAATGTCAAAGCTTAGCTGAACAAGCTGAAATTAGAAGCTGATAGTCTATCATGCACAGCTGCCACAGATTCTCAGTGTACTAGTTTTAGTAAATTTTCCCCAATGAGTCATTACAACTATGACAATGTTGCAAAACCAAAGGTGGGTAGCACAGGTAATAACATCCCCTTTTGGCCCTGAAACACATTCCATACAGTTTTAATTATTATATCAAGTATTCTTGAGCTGACTGTATAATAGAACACAGCACAGGTGACTCTTACGAAAATATCACCTAAAGATCTAGCTTTTTCTTGCTTTACCTTTATGTTAGTTCAGTGTGCAAAAGTGATACAAGCTAAGCAGTATGTGTTGATACATGAATTTGTGTTGTACCATGACAATGTCTCTAGATCAGTCTCTCAACCATTTTAAGAAACAGAAATCCGTGAAATAACTTTCCAGTATCATGGAGTCCCTGCTAAAAATTATTATATCTACAGCTCTTGACACATTAATGTGATGATCACTGAGAAGAATGCTCCCTATGGCTTCATGCACACTGGGCTCTTCTAAACACTTCAATAAGCACCCATTAAGCCGCGTTTTTACAAATGTGTTTTAGGTATTTGGCACTTGGGCATTTATTCATTTCATTGGCCAGAATATTAATTTATTATGGCCACTGAGATGAAAAACGCTCAAGCGTTAGTTTTAACACACGTTTACCCGCGTTTGGGCATGTCATGTTTTTCTTTTTTTTGTCAAAATGCTTCTCTTTTTGATGTTTTTTTTCTGCCTCTAAACTCCTGTAAAAGCCTATAGTGTGCATGGTTACCTAGGTTAACACGGAGGGGAATTTGGAGACAGAGAAAAAAATTCTCAAACACCTGCAAAAGCTGCATATTTGAGCTCAAGTGTGCATGAGGCCTAGATTCCCTGTCAGTGGTTATTCATCAGGTGTACTGTAGATATATGTGTGCCACAGGTGAATAATAACATGACTCCTTGCCCATTACTACCAGTTCCAATGTACCTGAGTTATTCTCCATGCACGTATAGATGAGTTTGCAGATTCTCAGTAGCAGCATCACTTTCTTCTCTGGGGAGTACATTTTTTGCATGGTGTACAACTTGACTTTGATCTTTTCCACATCGACAGATTCTGGGGTTGGGGTGAGAACCCCCAGCTCCTGAGGGGTCCTCTGTTTTACTAATAACAGGTTCTCCTTCAGCTGCCTCCACGAACCGTCTGCAGTACGGAAGTTCTTTAGCATGTTTTCTATATATCCTTTCAGTGGCTTTAATATACACTTGTGCATTGCTTTTTCCAGGACTATATCTGAAAAACAGAAGGGGAGCATGTTATTGTAATCAAGGTGAATTAGTAATAGCCTTTCCAGTATTATATTGAAAAAAAAAACAACAAAAAAACAAACAATGTTGAATTGTCAGGTGACTATCTTGCAGAGCTGTGGCGTCTTCCATCCCAGAAGGATTTTCTTACCTCCCACCCAAGTCTTTCAGTATATTTAGTTTGCCCTAAACCTTCGGGACCAAAATCATCTTCTTTCAGCCTCCCTTGACACCTTGAGCCTGTGAAGACAGACTTTAGGATTGTATCTATGGACAAATACAGCATAACAGGTATGGTCTATTTGCATTTGAAATCAGTTTGAGAGGTTTCTAAGAACATTCAAAGTTCATTACCAGTTAGGTGCATGTGATTTTCAGATTATCCCCTCCAGACCTTTAAAGTGTTACTAAACCCATGACCCTGCATTCACTATATCTGGTCTCCCACAGTACACACAACATAGAAAAACAATTATTGTAGTAAATATAAACTGCTAAATACCTTTTGTCATCAGCAGTTAGAGCAGTATTGTGACTTCTATCAGTGTTCAGCAGAGCACTGGTTACAGCTTGTAGGAGGAGTTTTCATTCTCCCCTGATTGTCCTGTGAGGCTGCATAATCCTTAACCCTCTGTCTGGACAGTGCTGATTGGCCCTGTACTGAACAAATGCACCCTCCCAAGAAAAAACAAAAAACCTCTCTAGCAATACACACTGAACTGAGCATGTGCTGATAGAGGCTCTATTCTATCAGCAGATGGATTGGGGACTGTGGAAAAAGGGGAGTATCAGAGAAGAGAGGATCAAACAGCCTTTTTACATAATGCAGGGGATTAACTCCTTAGGTTCTACATTGAGTATAACAAGCAGACTGACTTTACTGTAGTGGGTTTAGTAACACTTGTATCATTCCTGTCTGATGCTTTATTGCTTTGCTATCTGCAAGAATTACTTCTGACAAGTTTTCCTGCATGCTTTGCTGCATATACAAACTGATTTTACTGTTGTGGGTTTAGTAACACTTTAAATTCTCTTGGTATGACCTTACACAGTCATTTCACACTTGAATGGATGTACTGATTCAGTTATCTGTATGATACAGCATAAAAAGTCACATTTGCCTTTGGCCATGTGAATTGAAAAGGCTGTTGATTCTGGTATGATGACTTCTTGTGGATTGAGCCAATAATGACTTCTATCAGTGTCCGCCGAGCACTGGTTAAAGCTTGTAGGAGGAGTTTTCTTTCTGCTCTAGGAGGATGCAGAACCCCTGACCTCTGTTTGCACAGAGCTGATTGGCCCTGTGCTGATCACATGCACTCTCACAGATTAGCTGTCTTTTTTTTTTGTGGTGTTTGGATGTGTTCCAGCTCATTTCTGTGCAGAAATTATTGCAGCAGTGTCTAACATATTTTCTTTCATGTGAAACCTCAAAGTATGGTGTACCAGGTCCATTTGAGTACCGGGAAAATGCTTTGCATGCATTTTTCATGATGAAAAAAGCCTCTGGACAGCATCTGGAAATGGAAGAGTTAAAAAAAAATTTGAAAGACAAAAGCTTATAAACGCGGTTAGCCGTGTTTGAAACGCTGATAAAATCTACTCCTGAACGCAAGTTTGGTGCATTCAAAAAAACGACTGTAAACTCAACTGCCTGTAAATGACTGTAAAGGACATAGTGTACATGGACACATAGGAAAACATTAGGGAGAGTTCAGGGGCTGCTGAATAAAAACGCAGAAAAGCTCCTAAACGTCAGTTTACCAGCCGCAGTGTACATGGAGTCTAAGTGTCACATTATTACAAGGGAATGCTCATTAGCGTCACATAGAAAGTACATTCATTGTAGGGACAGCCCAAGTAGCTGATAAAAGCCAAAAAAATCAGGTGTCATAATATCACAATCTAGTATCTATAATTAGAAAGTGCTTTCATATTTTGTAAAGAATTTCTACATAGAAATTCCAAGTACTAGAATAGCTTCAAGCTCCATGTAACCTAAATAGCAATACCACAATAGAGACTTCTCACATGCTTGTCAGTGTTAACAACAAAGCTTCTACAGTTTACTAACAGAAATCCATGTGAGACCCAACCATGGTTACTTTATAAATCACATAAATACAGCAAACGAAAATGTTAGTCAGTGAAAATGACAAACATAAAAACTCACTAATTGATAAATGCATTATGACTTTTGTCCCTTGTTTTTCTAATTATTAGCGCTTATTCACACTGTATTTGTTTTAACCACTTGCCCTTCAGAGGATTTACTCCTCTTCCTGACCAGGCCATTTTTTGCATTACTTTAACTGACAATTGCACGGTCATGCAACGCTGTACCCAAATGAAATTTATGTCCTTTTTTCTCATAAATGGAGCTTTCTTTCAGTGATATTTAATCGCCTCTGCATTTTGTTTTTTTTTTTTTATGCTATAAAACAAAAAAATCGATAATTTTGAAAAAGAAAACCAAAATTTTTGAATTTTTGTTATAAAACATATTAAAAATAAAAATAAATTAAAAAATCTAATTTCGTCATAAATTTAGACCAAAATGTATTCTGCTAAATGTCTTTGCTAAAAAAAAAAATAACAATACGTGTAAATTAATTGGTTTACGTGAAAGTTATAGCGTTTACAAATGGCGGTATATATACTGGAATTTTTGTTTTTGTTAATACTAGTAATGGCGGCGATAAGCGACTTATAACAGGACTGCAGCATTCTGACACTGGGGGGGGAACTGACTGTCACTGACATCCCCAGTGACACCAATACAGTGATCAGTGCTAATAAAAAGCACCGACACTGTACTAATGACACTGGGCAGGAAGGGGTTAACATCTGGTATGATCAAAGGGTTAACTGTGTGCTGTTTTACTGTGTTGTCTGTGTGTGCTTTACTATGTAAGCATGCTGCTTTGTATTACTCTGCTATGCAGAGCAATACAGAGCAGCATGCTGCTGCTGACAGGGGGGAGATCTGTATTGTTTACATACAGACCTCTCCCCTGTCAGTGTTCCTCGGCGATCGCCGGGTGCCGGCAAGGAATCTCTGTGCGGGACCCAGTGATCGACAGCTGTAGCCGCCAATGGCGGTGTGGGTAGGGTGGAACATGTGCGCCTGTACCCGCAAATGCAAACTCACATATATACATATATATACACACGTGACTTTGCACAGCCCTGCCGCCCTGTAGCAGTAGTTCTGCTATAGGGCGGTAAAGCAGCGGTTAATAAAGTTATAAAAAAAACAACACTGCAGTGCATCATAACAATGCACTGCATCGCTCCTTCACAGTGCACACAGGTGCTCTTTTTAACTCTGTATTACACATGCTTCTGTAGTAAATGGGCCTAAAGTGTACTTAAGCCAAACCCTTCATGTTTTTTGTTTGTTTAGGACAGGGAGGGCAACAACTTTTATCAGGATTACATCACCAATCTTGTCTCCAAATTTCACCCAAAAACCGTCCTCTCCGCTCCTCGTATGACCTCCTGCTCTCTAGTTCCCTTGTCTCCTCCTCCCATGCTTGTCTCTAGGACTTCTCCAGAGCCTCCCCCACCCTCTAGAACTCTCTACCCCAATCTATCAGACCATTGCCTACTCTGCCCACTTTTCGGCGATCTCTGAAAACCTATCTCATCAGGGAAGCCTATCCTGCCTTCAGCTAATAACCGAATCTTCTATTCCTCCTACCAGTCCATTCCCCACATTTATTACCTTTTGTACCACTAGCCCCTCCCTTTTAGATATTAAGCTCCAAGGAGCAGGGCCTCCTTTCCCTCTTGTATTGAACTGTATTGTTGCTGTATTGTCTCCCTTTATTTTGTAAAGCGCTGAGCAAACTGTTGGCGCTATATAAATCCTGTATAATAATAATATTGCTGCCTTTGTGGCTGGTGAGGAGATATACTCTCTGTAATTGTCCTGATATTTATTGGGAAACCTAAAATTTTACAGATATCACAGAAACAGGCAGTGAGAGGAAATCCTCCAAAGGGGATCCCATTGTGTCTCCATGACGGGACAGGAAATGTCAACAACTGGACACATAGCATAAAAAAAAGAAAAATTGATAGGGATTTGAGCTGTTCTTTACATTATCTAAAAAAAACCAGGGTGGTGTTGCCCCAATCATTGTGTCTTATCGGGTCATTTTTTAAAAAAAAATTTTTTTAAAATCTAAACATTGAAAGATAGCCTTGGAACAAGAAGGACTTACCATGAAAATTTAACTGTTAGCGCAAAAAAAATCAGTACTCAACTATGTTGCTGCAGTACAACAGGTACAACAATGCGGCTACAATCACCTTAAAGTAGAATTCCAGGTTACAATCTTACTAGTCTTAAAAATGTTCCCTCCCTGTGTCGGCCAGTAATGGCCGCTCAACAACGGCTGATAAAACCTAAAATGGTGACATCACCCATAGGCCCCAATGGCCCATGTGTTGTTGGAACGCCCTCTTCTCCCCTGCAGCCGCCGCTGGCTGACACAGGGGAGCCGAATCACGTGACTGGATCGGAGCAGGCTGAAAATAGTACATACGTCTTTCTTACACAGGTTAGTTAACATAGGTGTTGGGAGGAGGAGCATTTTTAAGGTTTGCCTGAAATTCTACTTTCAGCATGAGTTTTAAGCAAATAAATGGCTTGCATGTGGTCGGAATTTGTTTTTCTTATTATTTATAACACTCAGTTCTGCTTGACCTACATTTGACATGAATATGTGTACCCTCAAGGTTCTTGACAACAGGTCCAGATGAACCACACTCATGGGCCTCCTGGCACTGAAGTTCATCATATTGGGAATATGTACCTAATGACACCTCAGTCTTCTCTATGCCAAGCAGTAAAAGTCCTTTTGGCATATTATTACAGTGAAAAGTTATTATTCACTTTACAGTTTCCTTTATTTTGACAGATTTACATTGTTTGGTCAGATCTTGTTGTCAGTTCTTGTAGCAGATGAATAAAATGTC